GACCACTCTTTTTTAATTCTAGTGCCTCGACTTTTCTAGCTAAAGATGCAAACTTGGCTTGAAGGTCATGATCTTTCCTAAGGTTGTACATACCTCCACTAGATGTATGAGGTTGAGTTTTACTCGATGCCTCATAAGTATCCGCGGTGTCCCAATTTTGAGCATTTTCAGCTAACAAGTCTAAGTACTCCATTACTTCATCAGGGTCTTTATCTTCAAAAATTCCATTGCACATCAATTCAACCATTTGCCTATCTTTAGGTGTTAACCCTTCATAAAAATGTGAAACCAATCTCCATGTTTCAAAACCATGATGAGGGCAAGTACTAAGCAAATCTCGATACCTATCCCAACATTTGTAAAATGTTTCTCCTGGTTTTTGAGTGAAAGTGGTGATTTGTCTCTTGAAAGAGTTTGTTCTATGAGATGGGAAAAACTTCTTTAAAAACTGTTGTTGCATTTCATCCCAAGCACGAATGGATCCTGGTCTCAAATTCTGTAGCCATGTTTTAGCTTTATCTTTTAATGAAAAAGGAAAAAGCTTTAATCTGATGGTGTTCATGCTACAATTTAAGTTATTATATGTGTTGCACACCTCCTCAAATTCCATTAAATGCAAGTATGGATTTTCTAATTCTAAACCATGAAAAGAAGGTAAAAGTTGAATAATACCTAGTTTAAAATTAAAATGAGATGCATCAGGAGGAAAAATTATGCATGATGGTGCACTTGTTCTTGTGGGATTCATGTGGTCTCTAAGTGTTCTAGCACGGTTATTCTCATTATTCTCATTATGAAGTGATTGATTATCTTCTTCGGCCATATTTTCTGAAAATGATGAGGATACCCTACAAAGTCTACCACTTGATGTACGTGACCACACTCTCATGCACGTGTAGAAATAAAATAAAAAAGAAGAAGAAAGCAAAAGAAGGAGGAAGAAAACAAAATAAAAAGAAACAAAAGAAAAGAAACAAAGTTATATACAAGAAAAGTGAAAAGATAAAATAAATAAATACTATAATTTATACAAGAACTTACCTCCCCGGCAACGGCGCCAGAAACTTGACACGACTAAAAGATTGATGTCTTCTCCCAAGTGCAGGAGTGTCGAAGTAATAAATAACCCGGCAAGACCGGGGTCGAACCACAGGGAGGTTAATTGTACAAATTATAAACAACAATTATAAAACAACAAAAACAACAACAACAACAACAACAACAACAACAACAACAACAACAACAACAACAACAACAACAACAACAACAACAACAACAACAACAACAACAACAACAACAACAACAACAACAACAACAACAACAAAAACAACAACAATAA